CTAAGTGAATGAGCTTAACTAGGATTTAGAGATCCAAGGTATAGACCTAGTGTGGTTAAACTTGGTGACTCCACAAGCAATAGACTTGGAGTAGTTGAGCTTGTTAACTCATTAAAATATGGATCTGGAGTGGTTGATCTTAATGAATGTTAATTCATAAGTGATACTTGTATAACATGGATATGTGGCTTACGTTTGTGTTTCGTTATTACCAATGGCAAATCGGGTCTCCGCCATCATTGTATGATATAGTGTGCCCTTCCAAGGGCGAGAACAGTACTAATGGAATATTTGTATTGATTAAATATAAGTTTTTAGTTTTAATGTTTTATATTTTTTACTCTATAACTGTTTGAACTCACGAGGCGTCAAGCCTAACACTCTATCATAAATGACATGTATATTAGGGTCTCAAGGTAGTGAAGCCATTAATGCTTGAATGGAGTGATGTTTGTCAATAGAGTCACTTTTGGGACATCATCTTTTGGAAGACTTTTAGAGTTACCACGTGATAGATTCTTTTGGTGATTGTAGTGACACCCGACTGTAATCTAAATCTAAAATTGGTTTATATTAGTAGGTTGTTATCTATCATCTATCTGTTGATGTAAAAAAATTTACAATTCCCCATTGGTGGGTGATTTTATTTAATTAGGCATTTATTCGATCTTATTCCCGGTTTAAATTATCTCTTATTTTAAGGGTATTACAGCTTTCCCCACATCACAACTTGCAAAGTGTGATGTAGTGATTTCCAAGACTAGTCCAGAAACAACCACAACGGAAATCTGAACTATGTTCGAAAAACTCTACCTCATAAAGTCTCTTACAAAATGCCTCATTCTACTTGGAACCATCTTCATACACAAGATAAGAGAAGAAAAACCAGTCAAGTCCTACCTCAATGTGCTTGATGACCTAGTCATGAAGATGAAGGTTGTGGACTTGAAGATAGATGACAAACAAATGACTATGATCCTCTTAGTCCCCCCCTCTCTCTCTCTCTCTCTCTCTCTCTCTCTCTATCTCTGTGTGTGTGTGTGAATGATACACTAGATTTGAGAATTCTTTGATTTATGATAGAGATACTATTATTATGGCATGATATCATAATGGGTGTTTCTATGTAAGGAGCTAAGAGAATGATAGATTAAGGTTTGCTGGTAGAGGCCACAAAAAGGAAATAAAAAGGGACAAACCAAGGGTGCGCTCAACGTCTCACAAGTCAAGTTTCAAAAACAAGTCTAACAAGATATGTGCATGTAACTACTGTAAAAAGCCCGGACATCATATTAAGGAGTGTTCAGAGCTTAAGTCAAAATCATACAATGATTGGCCACGATTTAATGTCGATGAATTAGGTACTTATAAATGGTCCACTTTTTACTAATACTTTGTATTGATCACCTATTATCTAAAACCTTTTACTAATGTGTTTATGGTCAACAAACCCATTGTTAAAGATAGGATCTCAGTCAACATTAATTTGATGGTATACAGACAAGTTCTGGAAACAATTAATTCATTGATAAAAACAAAAAAATTAAAACCGTAAAAATTAAGGAAATTTACAAAGACTCATTTATCTCCTTGTGACTTTCCTTCAAAGTTAATAATTGAGTAAATTGCTTGTTTCGTCCCTTTGGTTTATAGGATATAATGTATCAAGTCCTTCTTTTCAAATATTTATGGATTACAACCTAGTGGTTTGTAATTTATAATGCATTGGGTCTCTACTTCTAACTCTGTTAAAAAAAATTGTTAAGTATTTTATTTTGATAAATATATATATATATATATATATACACACACGGACATACATACACACATCCTTCCATTTTCGTGAACTAGACCCCGATGTCCAACCACCCCTCTTCCCCGTCGTACCCCAATCTCCAAACCCCCCTTCCCCCAGCCACCCACCACAATGGATATCGTCCAACACGAAACCCATCAACAACCTAGAAACCTACTTGTTCTTTGTCCCTCATATGCAGGAAAAAGCATCCACAATCAAAGAACTCGATCAAGAACTCAATCTGTTCTTTTTCTTCTGCCACAAGAACCTAATATGCTATAAGTAGGGGGTGCTTGCAGTGCGGTTTGGATGGTTTAACACCCAAACCACAAACCAAATCACAATGGCGGCTTAAATTTTGTTCAGGCATTTTCCATTTGGCACACCTTCCGACTCTAAGGTCCTTCCATCTTAACGTGGCTATCTACACATTGACCTATTTTTCCAGATCGAGTGGTTTAACAACAAGTGACCAAATCGGTTAAACCGGACCACAAAAAAAAAAGTCTAGTCTAACCGGCGTAAGCGATTTGGGCCTTTTATGGGCTTTGAGCATAAAAAACATAACATCTATATCCAAAATGATTTGAGCGTAAGCGATTTGGGCCTTTGATCTATTTCTCTTTGTTGATCCTCTCGCTTAGTGATTTGATGATGATCATTTTTATCTTACGAAAAATACTTAGTTTTCTTTATTCAGTTTCCGCGATCATCATTGAGTTTGTTCAGTGATCATTGAACAAGTATTGTAACTCTCAAGAGACAAGTATTCTTCAAGAAGACAAAACTCACACCACAAGATTCTTCGGTGATATCGAAGATAAAGCTGAAGATAAAGACAAGCAATTCGTGATCTAATGCGGATTCAGTGATAACAAGCCTGTCTACAAATGTATGAAGTCTGCTCAAGATTCAGCGTACGATGAAGAAACCTTAGGGTTATTCTAGTGTCAGTGATCAAATGAATCTTGTTGATCAAGATTAATTTTTGTCTTATCTTCCTATACACAAAGGACAAACTCTTACCTTTCAAAATAAAGCACTCATACGGAGTCACCCTATAGTCTCCAAACGTGTTTACCTAGTTGTGAAAGACCACTGTTCATATATGGCCAAAAGCATGTATATCTGGAAATAAATGACAAGCTCATCTCTAGAAGCTTGCCACGTCTCTTGTATTGTCTGACTTGCATTTAATGCAATGAGTATAAATAGCTGAGAAGTCCCTCCTTCTCAAACAGTCTTCAAGATCACAAATACCTAAGAAGAGACACCCTCACAAGCACAGACTTCTTAACCATATGAAGATATATTTACTTCAAGTGAAGAACATCAACTAAGATCTCCCTTTAGCGAAGTTATTGCTTCTTCCATTAGCAAGTATTTTCTTTCTTGTTTTCTGTATCTTGTGTGTTCCTTAGATTGTTTTAGATAAGTTGTGTATCTTTTCTTATTTCGCAAACAGTCTGTAAGTTATGTATTGATCTTCTTTATCAATAAAAGATTTTAACAAGTGAAAAATATTGTGTTTGTATTCATCCTCCCTCTACAAACTGTTATCTTTAAACTCTTGTAGATCCATCTATGACCAACACTTTTCATAAAAAAATAGGAAGTAGAACCAATAAAACCAATAAAGATGTTTTTCATTCATACCTGGAGTTGAATACCCCCATTCAATAATTGTTTTGGATCCAATCCATAGGAATCAATAGAATAGGCAAATCTCTTATGATACACCATATCCGACTCGATTATTGATAGAGTAATAAATCTTTATTATCGAGTTAAATAATAAAACGAAACATTAAAATGAAGATATATCTCGCTATATTATGCGAACACCCTTCTGGTTTTAAAAATAAATTAAAAATGTTACAGATCGCATTTGATTCGTAGAATATTTTTAGATAAAATAGAATCTCTCAAAGCAATTTGATTTCAAAGTAATTGAAATGAAATGTCATGTTTGACCACTTGTTTGATTAAAAGACATTTAAATGAAATATGTTAAGTAATTGCAATTTGTTTGTTTGGTTCACATAATGTAACTTTGGAATTGAAATTCAATATTATTAAATGATAAAAACATCCCATTTTGAAAATTTTAAAATTTTTAAAACTAAAAATACGTTAATGAAATAATCATTTAATGTGTAAAACACTATAAAATACACAAGCCAAATATAACTATAAAATCACAAGGGTAGTGCCTGATTGGTTTGAGCTTGACTCCAAAGATCAAAAGTATTAGGAGGTTCCGATTTCAAATCCAAGGAGGAAAAAATCCCCTTGTGGTCACGGAGGTTCAAATGCGGTGACTCCGAGCTATCTACAAAGCAAGTGGTCGCCCTATGATTAGTCGGCTCGCATAGCGGATTGGATATCCAAGTTTAAAAAAAACAATGTTATTAAATCAATATTAAAATATTTTTAAAATAGCTAATCTTTTATCATGTAAAATAAATGCATAATAAACATAATTCAATGTTATTATGTTAATTGAAGAAATTAATTATTATACTGAATAAATATCAAGAATTTTTTTTGTTGAAATATATTCCAAAAAAACAAGAGTATCAAATTAAATTAAATGAAATATGTTGGTAGCTAAACAAAAACATATTTAAAAAAAATAAAATTATATTAAATTTGATCATAACAATTCAATTTTATCAAAATAGTTTTTGTAAATATCTTTTACGACCTAAACTTGAAGAACCATGCCGTTTGCTGCCCTTAAACCATGAGGGTGTTTTCGTCATTCAAATATTACCCTGGATATGGTAAAAGTTGACAACAGAAAATAGAGGGTAAAGGCCGGGCAGCCCGATTTCTCTGAATGTACCAAAATACCCAAAAACTTAACCAAACATTCCACTATCTCTCCATCAAACCACAAGGGTGGTTTTGTCATTTCAAATCTGCTCCATATGCGGCAAAAGAATTACGGACATCCGTAATTAAATGCCGTTTTACTGAACAAAAAACAGCAGAAAAAGTCGTTACACAAAAAACGATCTTTCAGTTAAACAAGTGGCTCTTCACACTTCACACTCCACACTCTTAAGACCTAAAGATTTAACACTCCCATTCAGATCAGTACTGTCTGATGGAACCACTTTGCCACCTCCGCTTTCATACGCGCCGCCTCCTTCATACAATCTTTCTCATTGTTATCTATGGCTCCACCACCACCCACATGGTGGTCCATGGCGGCAACCACCACCACCTCCACAGGCGCCGACTATTGGAAGAGGGAGATGGTAGTCTCGTTTGCGACCCATCTTTGAGTTTTGAAAACGTACGAATCAGAAATGCCTACATTGCTTTACAAGCATGGAAGGCGGTCATCATCTCCGACCCACATGATGTCACAACTAATTGGGTCGGATCAGATGTCTGCAACTACACGGGTGTCTTCTGCTATAAAGCGCTTGACAATCCTCAAGAACGCACGGTGGCCGGCATAGACCTAAACCACAAAGACATAGCAGGCCACCTCCCCGACCACCTAGGCCTGTTATTTGATTTGGGTCTCTTTCACATCAACTCGAATCGGTTTTGTGGGATCCTTCCACGTAGTTTTTTGAACCTCAAGATGCTGTTTGAGCTTGATCTAAGCAACAATCGGTTTGCTGGAAACTTTCCGCACGTTGTGTTGGAACTTCCTGAGCTCAAGTATCTTGACATTCGGTTTAACGAATTCGAAGGTAAGCTTCCTGAAGAACTTTTCGACAAGAATCTTGATGCTATACTTATAAATCACAATAAGTTTTCTTCTAACGTACCTGAAAACATTGGGAATTCACCTGCCTCCGTGATTGTTCTTGCGAACAACAAGTTCACAGGATGCGTCCCATCGAGTATAGCGAAAATGAGGGAGTTGGACGAGTTGGTGTTGAGAGAGAACGGGTTCGAGTCTTGTTTACCCGAAACAATCGGGATGTTGAAGAACTTAACGGTGTTAGATTTGAGTTATAACAAGATAAAAGGTGAGTTGCCTTCGAGTATCGGGGAAATGGAAGGTTTGGAGGAATTGGATTTGGCTCATAACATGTTTTCTGGAAAGATTCCTGAGAGAGTGTGTTTGCTTCCTAAGTTGGAGAATTTTAGATATGAATACAATTTCTTTGTGAATCAAACTGAAAACTGTTTGAAATTGGCGGGATTTAACAATAGAAAGAACTGTTTTAGAGAGTGGCCGGAACAAAGAACAAGATTACAGTGTAGGATGTATCTATCACAGCCGCTTAATTGTAGTGCTTTCGGGTGTGCCGTGCTGTCCCCTCCTCCTGCTATTCCACCACCAGCATTGCCGCCAACACCTCCTCCATCGCCACCATCACCATCACCGCCTCCACCACCACCATTGCGGAGCCAGCCATCACCAACTACACCACCATCGCATCCAATTTCCGCCCCTCCCAGTCCACCGCCATCACCTCCAACTCACATCCCTTCTCCACCACCACCACCCCCTTTTATTCCACCACCACCACCACCATGTGAATGTGAACGACCAAAACCACCACAATCACCACCACCATGTGATCAATCAGAAGCTCCAGAATCTCCACCTCCATGTGGAGACAACCACCAGTAGGTTCCACCACCATAGCCATTAAGCTTTTCACCTCCTTCAGCTACTTTTGTGCCTAAAACATCATCACCCCCACCCCCTACCACCTTAAGTTCTTAAAGGAACCTCTTCAAAACACGAAAAGACCACAGATTCAAGTAATCAGAGAATGAGGTTGAGAATTTACCATCAAAGATCCAAGCTAATATTGAAGAAACTAAGAGGTGGATCAGGAGAAACAATGATGCACATTTCTTATATGTTATCTTCTCATATGTACTTCTATAATTAATCAATAAGAAGGTCAACATATAGATCAAGATAGAACTTTAAATTGAAAATGTAAGTATCCAAGAGTCTGTTCCATTAATCACTTGTTCTCTTGTGTTGATTTTAAGCCCACTGAGGCCTAACTACACTTCACTTCACTTCACTTCACTTCACTTCTTTAATTCCATAATGTTCTTTAAGGATCATATCCATGTTCACATTCATTTTTAGATATTGAATGGATGCAATAGTTGCCTGAATTAGACAGATAATCTATTAAATTAGTGATAACATGTATATAATCTTTGTTTTATCATCAAAAAAGTACTTCACAAATAATCAAATATACACATCCTTACTTTTTCTTAATCATACTATGACAGTATGACTTAAGGGGATGTTTGGGATTGCTTATTTGAAACAATTTATATTTTTCTACAAAAACATTTGTCAACTTATTTTAAGTCAGAAGGGTTTAACTTCTTCAAAAACTTCTTATTACCGGTTTGTCACCGGTATAAATTGTTTATCTAAACACTCAAAATTACTTATTGACATTGGAATTAGTCAATAAGTTGTTTTTATAAGCAATCTCAAACACTCCCTTAATAATAATATATAGTTAATTAAAACAAGTACATCATACGAAAATAAATCCAAATATCTAATATTCTCAGATACAGATAGAACCATATCCATATTTGCAAGATGTTCATCACGAATTTGAATATCACTTGCATAGTTGAATCAAATACGAATCAGTCGAATATGCATATTTTAGATATCCATTTACAACCTTAAGTTCTTGATGACAAGTCAAGGAATACTATCATTATGCATCTACACATCTTGATGCAACTTGATGACAATAATTATAAAACATGATACATGTTTTTTACACCAAATATTTAAACTGTGACTTTCTAATTTCTATGATGGCCAATGTTTTTAAGCATCAATGATTTTATAATGACTAAGTTATCAAGATGAGCTACGTTTTATTTGACTTGACGGGCTTTAATAATGACTTCTTTCATGATGACAATGTTTTTAACAGTAGAACTATATTTCTATGATGACAAATGTTTTAAAACGTGAGTCATTTTTTTTTTTATCAAATTGGCTAGTTTCTTGAAGTACCTATATTTTGAAGGTCAATTTAAAAAAAATTATAAAAGGATTAATCTTTAATAATATTATTATTAGAACAAATAAACATATTAGGCAGTTCCTATACAAAATTTGGAAAGCATTGACCCAAATTATACCCTAAGACATGCACTTTAGATATTATAACCACTAGAAGGACGTCTTAAACCATAATTTGGGCAACAATTTATCAAATTTCACAGAGGGACTGCTAACAGTTCACAGGCTATAGCATCTATATAAATTGTAATGCTAAAACTAGTTAGTTTGCCTTCAAAAGTCAAAAGAGGACATGATGGATAGAGTAATATGTACCTTGGTGTGGAAAGATTTGGCGTTACAAATACTGTGAAGAACTTGAACTTTCATACATTTTTTTTAAACTAAGATATGCGCACCAACTCAACTACCCGCACAGATCCTTGAATATGAAGAGAAGAAATTGATGGGGCATTTGGTTCGCTGGAATAGGTGAAATCCTTCGACCAAATTCCATTCCAACATTTGATTCACTAGAGGGGTGGAATGGAATGTATCAAATGGATTTTAAATCCATAAATCAAGGAATCATCCATTCCTTCCATGTAGATTTCGATTCCATTGAGAATAAAAAGACTATTTTACCCTACCATCACCACCAACCACAGCCAACCACCGTCCACCTCCGCCCACCACCACCACCACACCGCTACCGCCATGACAACCAACAACCACCCACAACCGACCACCACCAGTTTTTCATTCTAATTCCAAAGCTATTTTCTGTGAACCAAACAGACATATTCCAATTCATTTGACAGATTTCATTCAAAATCCTGCCAACCAAGCCTTTAATATCTTGTTGCAATCTTGCTATGTGTAAATTGGCATGATCAAGAACCATCGGATCATCTGCGGGATTGTGAAAGAGGTTAAATAATGCATGCCTATAAACTTGAGCTGCCAATAATGGCTTACCAACTTTACGGAGTTTACACACCATTGCCACCTTAACCATATGCTTACAAAGATTGGCCTAGCCTTGATGCTCGACAATCACAAAGTGAGAACTCCGAACCGGGGTTCCACACGGTATATACAAAACTTCTGTGTTCTTGGGAAACAACTTTTGCAAGTTGCAAGTTTTGCTCATTCAATAGGACGTCGACATCTGGGATATACATAGCTTGATACCACAAGTTGGGAGCCCAGGATTCCTTGCTTAGGTTTTCGAAGTACCTCATTTCTTCTACATATTGATTGAACCAGTACAATGAATGGAATTCAGTTATGAGAATGTGGATCACCCAATCAACTCTTGGCCAAGAACTAGCATGCAGACTCTAGACTTTAACTTTAGATGATATGACTTAATTGCAGCACAAGGCTCTTGACTTGCCACAGGGAGAGTCCTTACACTATTAACACACATCTCTATTACAAAGTATGTTATATTATATATATATATATATATATATATATATATGTACAAGTTTTATATGCATTGACTTTAAATGTAATAGTTAGACCTCGTTTTCTTGGCTTCTCTTTCTTTTCCAGCATTTCCCTTCTGTGAAGACTGGTTTGGGTAAGGTAAGAATGTGTTTTCTTCCTTTTCCTACTTCTTCATCTATGCATCTCTCATCATCTTCTTCTTCAATAGCCAACCTATTTGGCCCCTTCTCCTCACCATCGATCTCCCCACTTTCAGGATCCTCCTCCTCTTCATCCTCCTCTTGATCTTCATAATCTGATTCAGGACGCTTGTTCTCATCAACATCCATCTATACTATATGAATAACCATTTTGTGCAAGAAATCCCTTAACACGGGTCAAACCATCGCCTCATTATGCTCAATTTAGGGCTCGAAATCAATAAGGGCAGCCATAGTTGTATTTTCCGGAGGTATTCATCAAAACTTTCGCTTTCAGTTCTTCAAGTAAGTTTCGTTTTCCATTTCAAATTAACGGATTTTTTTTTGCATGTGATTTGAAGCCTTTTCTAACGTGTCTGGTAAAATTAGGGGTTTAGCAAGTCTCTTGAGATGACTGTGCTCTCTGAAATCGGAGACAAGACATTTTTTGCAGCTGCAGTGAGTTTAGTTGTTATTAATTAACCTTATTTTGTCATTTGGGTATTATTTGAAATTTGATTTCAATAGCGAATTTGATTAACTTTAATTGATAAATGTTCCACTTGTGGTATCACATATCATATGCTATTGATTTCGAACAGCAGTGGCAAACAATCGAAAGKTTGACTATATGAATCACAGATTCAATCTTGAATTTCATTCTCTAGATTCTATTTCATGTGTAGTTTAATTATCATAAGGATTTGGATTTAAGTTATAGGTTTTGCTTAATCCAACAATAATATCTAAGCAAGTGATAATTGAACCATAAAATTTTAGATAACATTTTTTTACTTTCTTTTGGTCATTTCTAGAGTTCCAACCCTATTTCTGTCCAAGAAAACAGCTACACCATGTTATTTGATGCCATTATGCTAAATCTTGGTGTAGTGTGTTTTTAAAGATTGAAACATGTTATTAAATAAGACAAAATCATACCATTGTTTTCTTCAGAATGGATCTACACATTTCTCAAAATTTGAGATGAAGGTATTATTTCACTTAAGAAACAAAACATTCATTGCTTATCCTATTTTTTTGGAATCTTGTTTTCTTTCTTTTTTTTTTTAGTTTGTTTGATGGAAAACCATTAAACGCATTATGTTGACTTTCCAATGAAATATATATTTAACTCCATTATTCACAACATATTATGATCGTGATTTTAGAATTTGGCGATGCGTCACCCCACGCGATATGTTTTGGCAGGTTGCCGTTCAGCTTTAATTGTAAGTTCTATTCTCTTGCCATTTTTCTGATATTAGATTCAATTATTTAGGCCTTAGAAAGTCGATTGACTGATTTCTAGGTTATGACTATTCTGTCTGTTGTTGTTGGTTGGGCTGCTCCAAACCTGGTATGTTTGTTACTTAATTTGGATATTGATGTTGTTGTGTCACCGTGGTTATGATCTTATACTATATCCATATTCAGTCTAACCCTCTTAAGTTCTTTATTTGTATTCGTAGTCAGTCTAACCCCCTTAAGTTCTTTATTTGTAATACATCTTTTAATAAAATATCGCGTCCTCGAAGTCAACTTCTATTCTCCATAAATATTATTCTAAGTTAGGAAATTGCAACATGATATTATTWTGTTCCCCATAGATATCTCCCACAAAGTGTGGTACTGTTGGTATTCAAGGGATTGCTTGGGCTTTTGGGGGTATGATCTTTGCCCTTGTCTACTGCACTACTGGAATCTCAGGTATCTATCTCTTTCTCTCTCTGTTTATATATATATATATATATATATATATATATATATTATATATATATATATTTCTTGAACTATTGTCTTTAATTTCTTGCAATATTTCTCATACCCATGTGGTTTCTTGTATGTTTTTGTGTGTGTGTATGTGTGTGTGTGTGTGTATATATATATATATATATATTTCTTGAACTATTATCTTTAATTTCTTGAAGTTAGAGAAATGGTTGAATATTCATGGACAGATGGCATTTTAGCAATCTTTCTCAAACAGAAATG